AGACTTAGCTTAAATCTTAAAAATAATAATTAATTTCTGGAAGTTAATGGTAATTGAACAAGTTAAGCAACTATGCTCAACTAACCCCAACTCGTAATTTCAAAATAAAAGTGAGTTTATAAAAAAACTGTGAGAATTATACCCAGAATCTCTGTGCATATTAAAAGTACTATAATCATATGGAAGAATAAAATTCACCTGATTAAAAATAAATAACATTTGACTGAACCAGACGAAAACTCGTGTTGAATTACTTTTTTACTTTTTGGTCTCAAAATAAACGAAACGCCCGTGAGCCTCACTTATTTGTCCAGCGGCTACTAGCGATCGCGGGATGTCTATTTCTCCCAAATCTCTATCTTTCCGCCATATAATGCCTAAACGGACGGTGAATAGTTTTCGAGATACTTCGGTTGCTCAACTTGCCCCTATGCTCAACTAGCCCCGCCCTACCCTATTAAAAATAAGTTTTGCATCATTTATACTCATAGTACATACTTACAACCGTTTCTAATTTTGGTGTGAAACGATTCAGAATGACTTCAAATGCAAAACGGAGAACAAAATTTAAAATAATTATAACTAGAAAATAATTATAGATATTTTGAACTAGTATGGTATACAAATAATAAATAAAATAAAAAAAATATATTTCAAGAATTCATTATCAATATAAATTGAAAATTCCGTATGTACCTACTAGAACGTCCGTCAAACAATCAATTTTATTTACATAAATTTTTCGTTCTTCATCTCTCCGTCGTTGAATATGAAGAGATACGAATAAAATCATAAATACAATTCCATTATTAGAATTTCCAATGATGATAATTCAATCTACATAATAAAACATCTGGTGAGAGTCGATTCAAAGGGACAAAACCCTCTGGGTTTTATTATCATTTCAGGAAATGCTGAAAAAAATTAATTCATTTTACAGGATTCAAACAGACATAATAAGCGGCGCGTGATTGGGTAAATACGATATAAAATCTTTTGAAATCGCTAAATTCATTTCAGAACAAGTTAAATAGAAAGTGTCCTCGGAGAAAGGGCGTAGTGTATAGTATCAATGTACCATACAATGATTTGAGATTTAAGAAATTCAATAGAAATTCGAGAAAGAATATTAAGATATTCAGATTACATAACACATACGCATTTCTAGGGTTTTAAAATACATATATTCTCAGGTTATAAAATACATACAATAGGTCCCTTATATAACATTCGGTCTTAAGGTTCACATTTGTTCTATTAAATTTTTTTATTTATTTACGGGCTTTATAAATTATCTTTATTAGCTATTGAATTTATTATTTAGTCTCTACTTATTTTTTGTTTGCAACAAGTTTTATTCAGCATTTTGTTATGTTGCTACGTGATTTTAATATAATTTTGTCAAATTTTGTTTTCAGGAGCACACTTTTGTAAAATTTCAATGTACGTTGAAATCCTCAATTATAGAGAGATATTTATTCTATATATTATACTTCTATATATTATTAATATATATTACTTACATACTTCTATATTTTTCATTAAAATTCAACGTGAACACATTAAAATGAGACCAGAACAGGGGTACTTTTTGTTCATGCAAAACTTAATATTAAACTTTTATATTAATACAATATGTATATATCAGTTTATGATTTATTTAAAGGTATCTATTTATTATGAAATTATTTGATAATTCATAATATATTTGTTAATACGTTAGAAATGTGTTTCTAAGTTGAGATGTTTTAGTTTAGTCGCACTGTAATCTTTGCGTAATTATAAATTTTCAATTCATTTTATTAAAATATTAATAATTTTACTGAAGGCATCAATAATAAAGTTCTAGTATTAATTTTGTATCTTAGTACCTATTTATTCTAATTTGAATATGACATATAGGTTAATAGATAGTACTATAAAAATGTTTTTATTATACTTCGAATTTTTAGTAAATTAGCCCTCTATTGTTTTTAATAATTATATTTCTTACGTAATTTCTTAGTTTGTTTGCTCTTCAATTCTCTATCGTGTTTTAAATATGAAATTCATTATAAAATTTACTAAATGCATGAAAATCCATGTTTATTGAAAAACAGCTAGCCCGAGTGTAAATCGAAAACATCTGTATATATCCTAATTTAATTTAACAAAAAATATATAAAAAACATTTATAAAAATCATTTGTAATAAACGATATTTGTTCAATAATAAATTAAGTATTTAGTGCAAGCTGGTTCAAAAAGCTCAATCAATTATAAACAAGGAAATAATTAAGGATTAGAAAATAATTTATCAGTAAAAACAATTGATTATACAGTATACACGTTTGGAATTTATATAAATATTCGTACAACATTAATTAAAATTTTTATTAAAATCAATTTCAAAGATTCAGTAAATTCTGAGCATTTCTAGTATGTTACAACTAGACCCAAGAGTTTGTTTCAACTAACCTCAGGAGTGATTTTTTTACATTAATTGAGATAACTATTCGTACAATATGAAACAAAGTAAGATATATGAAATTAACGCAAACCGAAATTTTATGATAGATCATTTTCATATTACCTGTAAAAAATGACGGACCTTCTGTGTATTGTTCATGGCGTAGACAAAAGTAAACATTGGTTGCTAGTTACCCCTGTTACAATTAGTCCCTGGCTTCGATACAGAAATTAATATATTACAAATGTTATATATTTATTCAAATATGATAAATTACGAATTATCTGAAAATCTAGGTCAAAAGATCTAAGAAACTAAGAAATTAGATAACGACAAAATAATTTATTGGTAAAAGCATTAGTTATACGTGTTTTATAGTCAAATGATATGATTTATGAATTTCATTAATATCTGGTATTGCCAGAAGCTCACAAAAAGTCTAAACAACTAAATAACAAGCAAACGAGCAATATTCGAGCTTATAACTATTATATATAAAACATAAAAGTGAAAATATAGTGATAAAATAACTTTGACCAGATCATTACATAAACTTAAAAGTTTAACACGCTCAGCTAATTACTGTCGGCAATAAAACGCTTGTAGTCGACACTTAATTGGCCTAAATTACACGTCAAAAAAAGCTCTTTTGCTATTCCAACTTCTATGGTTAATCATTTCCATTGCAGTTCTCATAGACTTCTATATAATCAACGACAAAACTTATTTATTTCATAGTAAAGAAACTCTACTTGTAACATATAAAACAGAACATGGACTTATGAAAAAGCTCAGAGCTTGTAAATGATATACAAATATTTTGTAAGAGTTTTTTATATGAATTTTCAACACGCAACACGTATTGTTTTTTATTGTAATTGGGTAGGTTTGAATTCTGAGAAGTACATATATCTTAAATATTTTTTTTTATTCTAAATCCCAATTCAGTCATAAAATTCAAAGAAATTTTACTATTATCGTGAAAATTCAAGTAAAGCCAAGCCTTCATATGCTTTGGCTATAAAATAATTTTTACACAAATGTTACTATTTTAAATTTTTGGTAACAGTATCTACACTTATAATATGTTTATAATGTAAAATCTTAACATTTTCTTATAACAAATAATTTAATATGATAAATCTAGTAATAGGTACGTATGGACATTTGAAGAATCAATCAATATTAAAATTGTGATAACTGATATATTTTATATCACAATTGTAATAATATATTCTCTTATAATCCTCAACATCATAATTACAACATGAGTCTTCTCTTTGATAGAATGATTAATTTTCTAGAATTTATAATTTTTATAATTGATTTATGTTTTTTCGTAAGTCTTTATTTTCATAAAAAAAATCTGTAAACACCTGGGATCTTTATTGCGGTATAAGATGTACTTTAGTAAGATATATTTGTTACTTATATTTATTTATTTATTTATTTTATTTATTTATTTTACAAGCCGTCAGTATAATGATATTTTAATAAGACTCAAATCAATATTTTGCAGGTTTAATATAATTTAAACTATTAACCATTTTATTACTTATTTAATTTATTTACTATAAACTTATTAATATATGGTTAATATTTTAAGGTTAAATAATTTTCATTATTTTTAAATGTAACTAGTTTGTTTGTTGCAAGTATTTTTTAAAAATTAAATAAGTATTTTAAAAAGCTTTGCAAAACTTTTACAATACAATTATTTTGTTTAATGAACTAAAGGTTACTTTTTGCTCTTATAATTCGAAAAATTATTGAAATTTTCGAGAAATTTGCGAAAAATACAAGTAATACATGTTTTGTATTCTATATTTTCATATTTAGTATATTTATCATAAATAACTTTATATTGGTATCTATATGCATTAGAAAATCTGCACTGGAATTTTTAAGCAAACCACAAAATTAACAAAAATATAATTTTATATTTAATATAACTTAATACAATATCATATATATATGACAGAATTTGTAAGAACAGCAGTAATCTTCTAAGATTTTTGAAAATTTGATTCCAGATCAGTTACAGTTCCTCAGGATTTAATTTTTAAACTGAAATAAAATGCAATACTATATTTTTAATAACACTATAAATCTCAGTTTAAAATAGCATAAATTCATCAAAAGTTATTTTATAGCTGGCATTGTTACTTATTTTATTGATTTTCTCTATACATATACAAAAATGAATTATCCAACAAACAAAGAACTCACGATTGCCCAGCCAGACGGAAAATTTAAATAAAAAAACTTTTTCAGACTTTGTTAACGAATTTTAATAATAATTCAACGCTACACCCTTTTTCAAATCCAATTACAAACGATATTTTTATTAATTGAATATGGATGAGTCCTAAAAATTCACTTGTGAAAGGGATTTGTTTCAGACGGTCTGATTAGCTGTTATGTAAAGTTTTACTTTTATCCAGTTATAATAAAAATATATCTTTATATAATATATATATATATATATATATATGTGTGTGTGTGTGCGTGTATGTTTATAATTACTTATTAGATTTATTATTTTATTTCAGTGAACTCTGCAAATATGCTGATGCCTTGCTTGCAGCTTTTGATGGCTCTCTACTGTTCTTATTTTGTAAGTAATATAAATTTTTATTAATATATTTGTATATATATATATATATATATATTGATTTATATGATAAAATCTATATGCATTGGGCATTTGTCCAGCAAAATAAGGAAAAAACTCGTTTTTCACTACTTTGTGTCAGCCTTACAAATTTACAAACTATATTAAAATTACTAACTATTCAATATCATAAAAATACAAAATAATGTTAGAAAGACAATTTTAAATATATAAAATAAAAATTCATATTGAAAATAAAAATCATATTAATAATAATGTATAATAACATATATCTTTGTCTTTCAACAGTATTTCAATTAAAATTATAATAAAAACTTACATAATACATATCCTTAACTAAAAAATTTACAATTTGTCCTACAGAACATTGCATTTTTCAGTAAATTTATCAAATCAGGATACTGTAGTTTTTAAAATTTATATTATAATATATTGGAATATTATGTTTTCAAATACATCGTAAATAACCAAAATTATAATAATAAATAAAAAGATAAAAATCTATCACTTCAAATGGATTAATAAAACAACTAGTATGTGATATCGGTAACCTAATCTATCACTAATTATTTTTTCTAATATTTGCTAAAAGCATATTTATAATTAATTTATTCTAATATTATATAATTCATAGAGTAAATCTACAATGACTTAAAAATAATATTATTAGAAAAAATTAAAAAAACACGATATAAGGTACCTACTAAAAACCTATAATCTAAATATTTCTAAATACCTATGTTGCAAAAATACTTCTAATTTTTTTTAAAAAACTAAATCTGTATAACCTAATATTATTTAAATATAATATAAATTGACTAAACAAAATTTTTATTGTTAAAATGCTTATTAATTTATTAACTGAATACTTATAATTTAAAAATATTTATAAAATTGTTAAACATTTCATAAAAACACCTTAAAAACTAGTGAAACAAAATACTTATATTGTAAAAGTACTTAACAATTTGTTGAAAAAGAAATAAAATTATAATGTAAAGATTCTTATAAATTTGTTAAACAAAATCTATCATAAAATTACCTAAAATTTCTTTGAAAAGTAATTATATTGTAAAAATACTTCTCAATTTGACAAAAATGAACAAAAATACTTGAAAAAATGTGTGAACACTAATTTTTATAAAAAACTACTTATATTGAAAATATTATTTTTGAAATGATTAAAATTAACTAAAAAATTAATAGGTATATTGTAAAGAAATTGAATAATAAATAAAAAACTAATAAAATAATTAATTCATTATAATGAAGTCTTGTAAAATAAATCATTGTTATATACCTACTGAAGACCGACCACCTTAACAACTAAATATAATACAAAAAACTTATGAAATAAAGAAAAATTAATGAATTAATTAATCAATTGTTTAAATGTTGTATTATGATAAATATCGATAGCTTCATCAATTGAGTTTAAATTAGAAGACAAAAGTGTCTAAAGGTGAATTTAAAAGAGCATCAGGAATAGGATATTTGTTAAGAAAATTTAGAAAGGTTAAAAGATAACTGGTTAAGATTATTAGATCAATCTGAAACATTGATATATATATATATATATATTGATATATATATATATATATATATATATATATATATAATATATATATATATATATATATATATATATATATATATATATATATATATATATATAATATACTACTATTAAAACTGCATGTGGTGAAAACTATAAGTTAAATTCATTCAGTAATCATTTATTCATCTTACATCTACTTGTGATAAATGACTAAAATTCTGAACATTTTGCTGCAATTATTAATTATTAATTTGTATAACTGTAATATTTTATGATTTCTACTACACAAGTGCATATAAATATCCTCTACAATTATTATATCTACTATATGCTTGTCTTTTCTTCCATTCAGGTACTATAATCTTCCTAAGTCCAATATATCATCATATTTTATCCGATCAAAAAGCTCGGAATTGAAAATCTCTGCACTGCCTCCAACTCATGTTAACAAATTTTTTAAACAAAGTTTAATCAGAAAAGTTCTATTAATCCGGCTTCGATGTGCTGTTTGTTCTACACGAAATATTTGTAAGAAAAGTGTAAAATTTGACTAGTTAAGTAGCTTAATTTAAAATATTCTCTGAGGACAGAGGATGTTGACTTGATCATATTGCAATCTGCAGGAAATTGTAAATATATTTATCAAAAATTGTTAATGAACCAAAGGCGTAGTTATTAACTATTTAAATGTATAACTTCAACGCTGATATTGGTTTTAAAATAAAATGGAATTTAATTAAAAATGCTTCGAATCATGGGAAGACCACATTGAACATTTTTGATACATAGTTCTATAGCAAAAAAAAAATTATAAAATAATTATTTATAAGTCTCAGCTTATAAATGACTCTAAACAATCATAAGGATACAATGGAACATTTAATTAAAATTAGCATTATTTTATATCAACATTTTTTAAAGTAAAATAAAGTTCCACTGGAGTTATAGAACGTATCTTAAGAGCAGAATATATATATATATATATATATATATATATATATATATGTATATATATATATATACAGAGAAATATAAATAATTATTTATAATAATTTTCAATGTAAAATATTTTACCGATTTCACTATCTAAATGTGCTTAAATCTTTCAAATAAATATGTATATATCATAGTCATTTATATGGTATCACTTTTTTAAACTAAATAATAGTAAATTTACCAAAACTATCATTAAAATACACAAATTGACGATTTATCAAAATATGTATATATTTACATAAGTAATATGACTTTAAAAACAAATTTAACAAAAATGTTGATTTTGAAATTTGAAATTGTTTTAAAATTTTATTAATTTGCAATCATTTATGCAGGGAGTTATTTTAAGTTCTTATTTTAAACCTATTTATCGAAGTTTTTCGGACAATTTTAAAATATTTTGTAAATCGTGAAAGTTTCATTACATCATGCAAACTTAAAAATATTTTATATTTTCTTGGAGACCTAGAAAGAACTTACATTTTTATTTAGTTTTTTACTCACGACTTACTATTTTGTATTTCAACATTTTCAAATCAAAACGGAATCATATTTATAATTTTAAATTTTAAATATATTTTTTTATCTATATTTAATGGAAATTTTCTATTGAATACAGTCTAGTCTTAAATTTATTTATTAATATGCAATATGTATTAACCAAATTAAAAAAATAATTTTATAATATTTTATTTGTGGATTATATATAACTAATATATGTCTGCAGAATTTTAAATAGTATAATGTACATAATTATAGTAAAAAGTAATATATTTAGTAAAATTCTAATATATTTTAATTTATTATATAGATAGTGTTTATCTTGTCAAAATTATGCTTTAAAGTCTATGTAATACGCTTTTAAAGTATATTTCAGCATAAATTTTCTAAGATTTGTATCTAAGCCTAAAATGTAATGGTTTCATTTATGTATAAATTAACCAACCATTATTTTTCATGTTAATGCCAAATGTTTTTTCCCAAAAATATTTAGAAGATTGCTACTGAAAAGAAGTATCACTTTAATAGAACTAATTATTTGAAATTGATCTTAATAAATACAGGCTTATAATTTGTGGATCTTTTTTGGACATTGTTTTCTGAAGATGTCTCTAAATTATATAATATATATATATATATATATATATATATATATATAAAATCATTTTTCAATCGCTTTCTATCATTGTAAATATGTAAGTGTAAAACACTAATAAAATTGTGATAAATATATCATCCGTAGCTAAATATGCAACAAAATCATACACTATAAAATCCAATTTCAAGATATTATCATTAAATTAGTATATACTGGCTCTAAAATTAATCTTTTGAATAAATTTTTATATAGATCAGAAACACACATAACTATCATTAATATAAATGCACGGAATAATCTCAGAAATAAATACACAATGTAAAATCGATGCGCACAGCTTTTTGCCAAATAATAAAAAATATATTTGTTATAATATATTAGTTAATAATTTAATTATTTGGTGAATTACAAAGTGCATACGTTTGTGTGCTAATGATATAATTTGACTAAAATATTTTAATTAATGATAATTAGTGAAATATGCACAATAATGTTGGATATGAATCTAGATCAGTAATTCTAATTTATGAAATATGAATAGTTAACTTATTGGTTGAACACCAGATCTTAGGTTAAAGTGTTCTTGGATTTAAAAATTAATAACTTTTGAATTGTAAAACCTATTATATTTTAATATAACATTTTGGATGCCATTTTTTTTATTTAAACATCGTTCAACGATTGTAAAGCCTTTATTAGACAATTTCTGATCTATTTTTATCGTGCTTTTAATGATAAGCATAAACTTGTATTATTGAATACCGCAATTCGTAATAAAAAATATTTTAAGGCAATTCAGTATTCTGGTTTCTAATCTATGGGGTTTGACCCCTTAAGGGAGCAAGGTTCTTGCAAATATTAATTCCAAAAAATTAAACCAAAAACGTTTTTTTCAAAAATTTATCAATATTATTTTTACATAATTTTTATATTAATTTGTAACCTGATCAATAAATTATATCAATTGACTATTTTTAAAATTAGATTGTTCTAAAAATCAAGGGCAGCATTATTTTTTCAAAGAACAAAGGATCGCGGTACGAAGAGGTTGGAAACCACTGATTTGTAAATTAAGTCAAATAGTGAAAAAAATCTGAAACCGTTATAAAACTTCCTAACTTCTATTCCTAAATTATTAATAATTAACAAACGATATTTTTAATATTTTAATATTAAATTTATTTTTAATATTTAATAGCTTTTGCAAGAAAAAGTGTTATCTCGTGTTTTATTTAATTTTTTCAATTGTTACATCCAACCCGCGCAAGTTCTTACTTAACAGTTTTTTAAAATATTATCAAAATTCTAAAAATATATATCGCTTGTAAATATTACCTTGTATAAATAATATATATTAATTATATTAATAAATAAAAAATTGCACAGATTAATATAACCGTTCACCTATGTATTACCCAGAAGCACATGGCCTATGTGAGTGCTGTATAAAAACAATATTGTCAATTCTAGTGTAATTTCCAAAGAAATGATTTTAACTGTATAAAAAATATTTGTAATTGTAAATACAATTTGATATGTTATACCATGTTTTCAAAAATAGGAAATAAACTGATGTATATTAAAAGTTTATTTATTTTGTAGTTTATATTAGTAAATTTTTAGTACCAGGTAAAATGGAAGATAATATTTAGGAAAGTCATCTTTTATATATATATATATATATATATATATATATACATATATATATATATATATATATATATATATATATAATTAAATAAATTTCTATACAGGTATCCATCTAATTATTAGAAAGAAAAAATTAACAAGGGGATCTCAGATTTACTCGTCTGGAATTTTGATGAATTTTTGCATAGTGATATGGTTCATACCAAACTAATTTCCTAATTTCCATAGGCCTATGATATTTTAAGGTTTTCGGATCGACTATCAACTCTATTATCATCAAAATTCCAGAAGAGCAAACCTGAGGGGAACCTCAGCTTTCCTCGCCTGGGATTTCGATGAATTTTTGCATGGTGATAAGGTTGATACCGAACCAATTTTCATAGGCCTATAATATTTTAAAGTGTTCAGTTTGACTATTAACCTTATCACCATACAAAGATTTATCAAAATCCCAGAAAAGTAAACTTGAGGTTCTCCATGTTAGTAAGAAAGAACAAACGAGATAAACCTCAAGTTTACTCGCCTGGAATTTTGATGCATTTTTGCATGGTGATAAAGTTGATACCGAACTACTTTCCATAGGCCTATTGTTTTTTTGTTGAAGTTGTAAGCTCAAGGACCAGATAGAATTAGTGGCTCTATCGACCGTTTAATTGTGAAGATTAATTAGTAACAAGAAGATTGCACTAATTTATTGTAATATATAACTTTACATTGTTTGTATGATATAGTTTGAGTATTGAAATAATATAGGAGTATTTGAATGCTGATAGTTTGGCGACCGGGTCTAGACTATGCCTATGTGCCGCCTTCAGGTACCTAGAAGGACCCTTCGTAGTTGAATCTTGAGATGCGAATTGTCTATGCGTCGTTGCAAAATGCAATATTTTCTGAGAAAGATGAGTGCAACGTTGTCACGTCTAATTTGGCGTGAACATCTATAATATTCAAAGTAGGGCTCGTCGGTTTTCAAAAACTGGTTTTAAAAATCGGTTTGTTGACCAAAATTATAGAATTCGAAAACCGGTTTTTTAGTAGAAAAAGTCAGTTTGCACTGTATAAATGGAAAATGACAAAAATAACCAAATATAAAAGATAGATGCAAGCGTTTTGATTCATATGGGAATACGGGAATCATATGGGTTCGATAACATTTGGAATCATATCATGGGTTTATAAGGTTTTGTGTTATCTTCTGTCTAATGTATGTATCAACATGTATCTATTTTTTAATTTAATGAATGTTTTGTATTTAAAAATGTATTATTTTTATTTATTTGAAACCTTTTCTTTCACTATCATAAAAATATTTTAATTATTATATGTGGAAATGATGCATGAATAATAAATAATTATTTTCAGTTATTTAATCCAGATAAACTATTTTTTTTGTTTCACTAATTAAAATTGAAATAATTTTGTTTACTATATATAATATAAAATTGACTAATAAATAAATTTAGTCAAATACTGCTTTAAGTCGCACTAAATTTGCGGATTAATTTTTGTTATTACAGAATATTCGAGCAAAAAATTATTTTCTATATAAAATTCGAAAACCGGCTTAAACCGGTTTTCTCGTAAAATTAAAATTCTAAAACTGGTTTTCTGATATGTCGGTTGTATAAATCCTAACTCTAAGGTGTTCGCTTTAACTATCAACTCTATCACCAAACAAAGATTCATCAGAATCCCAGAGGAATAAATCTGAGGTTCTCCTTTTTAGTTATGTGTGAAAAAATTACAATATTTTCGACCTGAAAACAGGCAAAATAAATACGCTATATTCTTATAAAAATTACATCATTTGACATATGAAAATATATAATTATATACATAGAAGTACATTTGTTTGGTCAATAATGCATCTATCTAGGTCACCATGAACAACCATCAAACATGTCAGTCATTTTCCTGCAAACGAAGGAGAAATACATACTGATAAAATTAATTGGCACGAACAAGTAAATGTGAGTATATGTTATAAAAAAATACAAATGTAGTACTAACATTAAAAATACTTTTATTTTGCACATTTTTCATTAAAATCGATTAGATGGGTTTTATGACGCATTCTTTCGAAAGAACATGAATGCTAAGTTTTGAATATAAGTGAATTGGAAGAATATTAATATATAATTAAAATATCATAAAAAAATTTATTGCTAGTGATATGTATTTCAGTAAAATCGACTGAAAGGTTTTTCTATTATTTGACATACTTTGGCATATTCTTCACTAAAAGTGTGTTATTAAAACATCAACTGAATTATATTTATATAATGGTGAATTAACCTTTGAGATTTTGTTCTAATATTTTCAATCTTTTCTTCTAATATTTTCAATCTCTTCCCCAGATGGTGCTCCCTGGTCCTGATGGGGACAATCAACCTTCTGCGTCCAACCAGGACGATAATCTCGATATATTGGAGAGGATCTTACGAGAACCTCCAGATCAAGATCGAGGTGACCAGGAACAAATGTTGCAAAGACTTTCACGCCTAAGAGATCCAATGGCCAATTTAAACGTTGTCAATACAAGATATGGTTTAGTTAGTCCTCTTGAACCGACTTTATATGAATTACTGGTAAGTTAAGCAAATTTTAGTGCTATTTCAGACTTATATAATATATAATCATACGTATTTGGTAAAAAATTTAATATTAGGTTGTTTGTTGAATATTAAGTCTTTGTTTCAAGATTTAGCTTCTATAAATTTTAGTCTTTGATGTGGCTACTACGTTCTTTACATATTAATAGTATTTTACTACTTTTTAAATTCATTTTTTAAGCTGCACTTTTAAAATTTTTAATAAAAAATAGGTGCTTAAAATTTATTAACATGTATTTTTGGATATCACACACATAACTGTCTCGTAATCTATACAATTTGTATTTATCGTTAATGAAACATATGAAAAGCACTGTATTTTATTGCTAAGTAAATAATTTTCAGATGGGTAAAGAAAACAAATCATGCAACTGATCAATTTTAAATAGTCTTTGCAATAAATGATTTGCATGAAGTAATTGCTCATTAATAAATTCTTTAATTTTTGTTCACAAAATGGATTATGTTAAACAACACCTAAACAAAAATTGTTTTTGCAACTATGGGTTCTGATACCGATTATGGGTAATAATGTAATTAAAGTCATACTTCAAATATGATATGATCGGTTTGTCATTGTACTTAGCATTTAGAAATGAACCTTTAGAAAAATGAATTAATTGCTGATTAATAAATTTTATAATATTCGTTCCCACAGTGGATTATGTTAAACAACGCCTAAACAAATATTGTTTTCGCAACTTCACTCATCATGTAATTGTGTTTGAAGAACTTCATGTAATTAAAATTAACATACATTCATTGACTGCTTGTTTTTTTTTTCACTTTTTCGCTGGCGATATAATCTAATTACAGCTGTAATATCTGTCTTCGACTCGTATAGAAATGAGAAATCATCGAGAAAAATCATTGGCTTTCGACTCTTATCTGCCGTAACGCACTTCCGTTGCATTTGTACGGATTTATACCCTAGTTGCGCCTATAGAAGTTTTACTTCAAAAAATCAATATCCTTGCAACTTTCAAAATTTATTGAACAAATTAGGTTTTAAAACAGTTTTTTGACTTGAGAATAAAAGACAATAGATTTATGTATTTATTCATTCACATAATCCATCAACTTACCAGAATCAGGTTTTGTTTATATAATAACTAGCAAACCCGACGAACTCCGTTTCGCCACCAGATGGTTTCATGAGAAAGATGAAGAAATTTTTTGTTTGTTTTATATTTGAAAAGGAAAAATTTGATTTTATTATACAACAGTAATGAATTTATTTCGATTACAAAAATGAAGTGTTTTTAGTTGAACTTCTCTAAGTAAATGAAAGTGAATCCGCAAATTATCCGTTTCATTGAAGTGCCCTTTGGTAAACCACAATTTTTGTTTTTTGGTCTGACCTTAACACAAACAAAGCGGATGGTTTTCCAACTCGTGAATAGGCAACGTATAACTGCCCATGTGAAAAACAATGATTTTCTGAATTATCTATCTGAAATTTATCCCGCAAACACTAAGCGATTGGCCTTGCGACTTGTTATTGCAAACGCAAGGCGAACTGGAAATTGCAATCGTTTGAAGTCAAACGGAAGACCAGTCGGAATCATTGGTATGTCACCAAATCGCCAACAATTTTTGATTGAATGGTGAAATTCAGTGCGCGTACATCATTATTCTTTGCGGCAAGAATTGCTCGTTGACTTAACCAAGCATAATTCTGATAATTCTCACTAACGTCATTACTCGAATTTTTAATTACGGTGCGTGAAGTTCCAGCAGCTTGCATTAAGGCACGATGCCATGCACAACTAATTTTTTTAGCTATAAACCTTGCGGAGCCCGAGAGCTTTCCAACGAATGCAAAATTGTCGAAATCGGTTCGTGCGTTATGGAGTTATTTCGTCAGGAAGGAAAACCCGACTTATTTTTATATATATAGAAGATATATACAAACAAACAAAAATATCAATTTTGTAAATTTACATAAGAAATAGATAATATGTATTATGTTTAATAGAGATCTCTAGATATATTACGATATATTTTACTGGGTCAAACTATTATCAACTACACAATATTGCATTAAACAAATCTAAATTAAAATTTATATTTGAGTCTTTCGCATCTATTACTAAATAAATTTTCTTATTTCCAATGCCCCTCACCTGATATTTTCCTCCTGCAGCAGAGAATTTGTGCATCCGAAGCAAATGGTGAGGAGAAGGACGTGGAGTCGTTGCTCCGAGTAACAATGCGAGTCACATCGCGCGATGTGTCTCTGCAGCGTCTGCACCTTTACGTGCCTGCACTTCAGGAATTGGTTCTGGAAGGGTCCAGGATGACTTCCATCAGGGACCTAGGATGTGACCTCGTCAACCTTAAGTAAGTAGATAATAATACACTAATATTAAGAATCAACGTTGAAAATTGTGTTCATATACTGGAAGCCAGAATTTAATTTTAAATTGTTGATTTGGGCAAAATTGAATTTTATCGAGACTATCTGCGAAATATTTGCAATTTTTTGACCCGACTCGTAATGTATATATATATAATATAAAATTTACTAAATATTATAAAATATTTAAAGTCTTTATTTAGTATATGACATGTAAACAATTATTCTTGGATACCACGATAAGAACAAAAGTGCATCTTTTATTTAGTCAATGACTCATCTTGAAAATAAATTTTAATCAGTTTTTTTCTAGCTAATTGGCAGATTTGTTTAGATTTAAAACATATATTGAAATTAATGCAGATTTGTAGTTATCTGCTCTTGAACATGTATGTCGCTCTTAAATATAACATCGATTTAGAATGTTGTAAGATTTGTGCAGATTCTAAATCAGATTTTGATTGATTGTTTGATATAAAAATTGGGTTTTGGTTTATAACTAATTATTGATATTATTATATGATATTTATTATAAATTATATTTATATTTATGTTATCTATTACTGATACACGAGTCGTTACGGTTGAAAAAATACTCTAATCAAAACCTAAAACGACTTTAAGCCTGCTAATAAAATTATGTTATACTAAAGTCATTAATATAAAATAATATAATCATACTAAAGATTGTTGCAGTAATACTTTAAATGGATCAAATCTATCAAATTTCTTATATAGAAAACGCAATCAATGGCACTTACCCATAGATAAATTGATTTGGCATTAAAAATATTTCAAATAATGTTGTTCACATAGTTAAGTAGGAAAAAATACTCTATTTAAAAACTAAAACAACCTGCTAATAAAATCATGTTATACTATAGTCATTAGCAAAAAAAATTAAAATTATGAGTTTTGATAATATCATAAATGAATAAAAGAGTTCTTAAACTTGATATTTCAGTTTGTTTTGATAATATTAAAAATGGATCAACTAACCTTTCTTCCATAATAATGATTGTTTTGGCAATATAAATATTTCAAAGAACTTTGTTTCGAAGAGTTAATAAAATATGAATATTGTTTGAACATTACTTCATATAGTTTTGAAGACCAATCGTAACTATATAAGTTAGATCTTTTAGCAAAAAATCAATATAAAATAGAAATCATAAACATCTAATTAAAACAATATTTTTTAAAATATATATACGAAAATACATTTGTAAAATATATTTTTAATAGGTTATATAATGTTGTAAACAATTGATTCACCAATTCCATTTTATAATTTGCAAAATTTTATTTTAGCCGTGCATAACAGAAATATTATAAATTCATCATTTGCAAATAATTTGACCACCAGAATTAGCTTAAAGACAAAGTGATAAGAAGACTTACCATAAAGAGTTAGGGATCTAATTTAGTTAAATGATCACAATAACTCACAGGTTGTTTCATATTCTGATTGCGTTAACTAAAAATAGAGCATAAAATGTTTATAGATGAATAATTAATATAGATAAGCGATTAACATAGAATAGCTCATCGCAGCACACTACTAGTTCATGGCAAAGTCTAGTCAGTGTTAAAATTTACAGAAATAGGTCCAATGAATCAGAAATCAAATAATCTCATTAATTGAGTACATAAGACAATTCTAATTTATTTTGAATTATATTTTTAGATTGCTGAATATAAGCAATTGTGGTTTAGATTCGTTGGACGGAACAAACGGTCTTCCCGTAACTCTGGAGAAATTGTACGCTGCACGAAATCGAATCCGGGACGTGATTTGTGTCGTAAGTCTCGAGGGACTGCAACTCCTCGACCTCAGTGGGTGAGAATAAAATAAATTACTTGTTTAAACATTTATTTATTTAAAAAGACTACAATGTCACAATGGAAAATTTTGAAATTGACTCATTAAATAATTGCAATAGTAATGATAGTAATTGTTACAATCGCTTTTTGTGATGTTGGACTAGCCATGTGTAAAATCCTCTCCGATTTTTAGATAAAAATAGCATATAAAAATACTTCTGATTCGTAAAGCATCAATTTATCGAGAATTGAACAGATTATTCAAGGAAAATTTGGAAAGGTCCAAAAGAAACATGAACAATTCTTCAAGTTTGAAGAAGGACTGTCAGTTTTGTGTGTTGTGTGTTGCATGTTGCATGGTGTGGTGAGTAGTGTTGACTTTGGAAGAACGGGTTCAGAGTCGACTAGCGATCACAGCGTGAATTGAGAGATTGCAGCATATGCCGCGATTTGAAACACCGGATTTCAAAGTCTTTGTCGATCTCAGAATGAATCGATCCCTCTTTCCTCTTTCTATCGCACAAAACTGACAGCGCCCTGCTGCCTTGTTATAAATCTACATATATATAAAAACAAGTCGGGTTTTTCTTCCTGACGATATAACTCCAGAACGCACAAACCGATTTCGACAATTTTGCATTCGTTGGAAAGGTCTCAAGCTCCGCAAGGTTTATAGCTAAGAAAATTAGTGGTGCATGGCATCGTGCTTTAATGCAAGCTACTGGAACTTCTCGCACCGTAATTAAAAATTCGAGTAATGACATTAGTGAGAATTATCAGAATTATGCTTGGTTAAGTCAACGAGCAATTCGTGCCGCAAAGAATAATGATTGCTGGCGATTTGGTGACATACCAATGATTCCTACTGGTCTTCCGTTTGACTTCAAACGATTGCAATTTCCAGTTCGCCTTGCGTTCGCAATGACAACTAACAAGTTGCAAGTCCAATGCGGCTTAGTGTTTGCGGGATAAATTTCAAATAGATTATTTAGAAAATCATTGTTTTTCACATGGGCAGTTATACGTTGCCTGTTCACGAGTTGGAAAACCATCCGCTTTGTTTGTGTTAACGTCAGACCAAAAAACAAAAAATGTGGTTTACCAAAGAGCACTTCAATGAAACGGATAATTTGCGGATTCACTTTCATTTACTTAGAGAAGTTCAACTAAAAAATACTTCATTTTTGTAATCGAAATAAATTCATTACTGTTGTATAATAAAATCAAATTTTTCCTTTTCGAATATAAAACAAACACGAAACCATCTGGTGGCGAAACGGAGTTTGTCGGGTTTGCTAGTTATATTACTATGCTATAGTTATATATTATACACTAATATAAATGTACATTAATGATTGCACATTTTTCTTGTGTTGAGAGTGGCAATTTTCTTTCTTTTTTGTTCATTATTGCTATTAAATTATTTGTTATTATTAATTATTATTTTTTAGGAATCGTGTCCGAGATATATCAACTTTGGGTTTTTTGACTTTGTGCGAGGAGCTCCGAAGCATATTCCTTGCAAATTGTCCATGTGCAGATATACCGGATTTCAGGCGACGAGTACGTAAACTGATGCCTCATTTGCACGAACTCGATGGAATACCCTTCCAAGAAGAAGATGACGAAGGTATTTAAAATATAGTGTTCTAAAACAAAATATTTATCACAATAAGTTCTTAAAATCAACCTTCCATCAGCATATTTTTAAATTTCTACTGTCATCAACATATTTTTTAGCAAAAAAAATCGGTCTGTGCTCAAACACTTATTTCAGAATGATTGAGTTGGCAATCAGTAGTATTAATTCTTAACATTTGATCTAATGTCAATTTGGATAATGGTTTGAGTTAAATTGTTCTATACCAAATTAAAGTATAATAACATATAAATAAAATTAGCAAAATTTTCAAATAATTCTGGAAATTATTGAAAGGTATCATTAAATAAATTACCTAATTGATAAATGCGCATAACTACACCCATATATCGCAATAAAATATTTATCATTTTTTTGCATCATCCTCGAATAAGCATATTATTAGAAAAAACTGGAAGTCTCAAATACTTATTTAAGAATGGTTAAGTTAATGATCAGTAGTATTAATTCTTAACATTTTGAAATTTGATGATGTCAAATTAGTTATTTATTTAGATACACGTTTGTGTTAAATTGCTAAAAATAAAAGATAAGATACCTAATTAATAAGATACTTAACAAATAAAATACTTAAATGCAATTGAATATTCAAAATTATTTCAAAAATTTTAAATTATTTTTTAATTTATTAAAATAAATTACTTAATAAATAAATTCCGATAAAGTTGGTGTAATTGAAATTTTAGTTGTACAAATAATTCATATAGTTAAATATAATTTTCAGCTATAAACACATTTTTGCTTCAATAAGAGAAACTAGCTAGTCATATAATATCCTCTCATCAAATTTCTATTCAATGCTACAGTTTGACTGCAATTTTCTGACTCTATAAACGTCATTTAGCCATACAACTGATTGTAAATAGAAGTATATCGTTATAGATAAAGAACTAATTAGTATATTGTATACTAAAAAAGGGTCAGCTAACACAAATTTTATCAATGGTTTGTCCACTGCAAAGCATGCCACATATAGATGTTCATGGGGAATATTGAAACTCATTGCAAGTGCCGGTATGATCGGAAACTGATTTCATTTAAATTGTATAGGCGCAAATTATAGATGCAAAGTTATAATTTATTATTACCGCGAATTTTTAAGTTTCGAACCAAATCTGAGCATTCATTTGATTTGATTTACATCCATTTTCCTGAACTCCATATTAATCTTAACCAAAAATAAGTTCATAAAACCCCAATAACTATTCATTCGGTAATAGTTTACATCTTGTGAGCCTACTTTTTCAAATTTCAGCTTATATCTTACATCATTTAAATTTTAAATTCTTTATAAGAAATTGAATATTTGTCAATTACAATTTTTAAAGTTGATTTCTTTTGGTTGCAGTGGACGAGATGTCTGAACAGCCGTTTGCATTTGATCCACTGCAACATATTCGAGGAATCTGAATAGTTTAAAATGATAATTGAAATACATATAATTATTATTGTTGTAATTAATTATAAGGTAAAATAAAGTTTAGTAAAATAAAAAAATTAAGATAAAAGTAATATGCTTGTTCCGTAGTTTTTAAGAGCTTAAGGCTAAAGTAGGTTATAAAAAGCTTATTATGTAACGATTCGTATATTTTATATTTATGGTAATCATCGTAATAAATAATGCAACATGGCTTTTAAACTATGCAAACTATTTTTTTGCTCGTTAACATATTGTAATATTGTTTTTTTTTTTTTAAATATCTTTGAATATATTGAATTGTCCTGGCTGTGGTAGTGTATATTGGGAGGTATGTTCTGGATCACCAGTACAACCAGGAATTGTAATGATAGGCTGGACCCGAGCGGTGAACAATTGAATAGTTGTTGAAATATTATATTTGTGATGTGGACTCTCCAGAGTCCACTGGTAGTGTGAAAGGCCTTTAGTACGAACAGCGATTTGATAGTAATTTGTAAACACACTTCTTACTTTGAATTATACTTTATTATTCACTATTTTTACAATTAATATTTATTGATAACCTTTTGGTTATCATATCAGCAAAGACTACATTTTACTGAATACTATGTCTGGCTCCAAGCTTGACTCCAAGCTTCTCTCCAGGTTTGACTCCAAGTTTGACTGACTGTCTAACTTTTGTCTAACTCTTATATACTAATTTATTGTTTACAACCTATTTACAAAATCCAACAGTAAGCACTTCCGATGTCCGCGTAACCTACATATAACTAGCAACGCGTTTTGTAATTATTAAACAAAATAATGATTCGAATTGTTATTACAGTTCAACCTCCCTCTTCAAAAGTTTTTCGTCCTCGGAAAACTATAAAAATTAAGAAAAAATTTAAAAAAATGAGTTCCATCTCTTCTTCCTTCGGCCCTTAAAAACTTTTGTCCTCAAAAGTGTCATTACTGTTAGAATATGTTTACAAATAATGTGCTCTGAAAAAAAATCTTATAATAATTTTATTTTTATCTCTACATTAATAAATCTTTAATAACATACATATAAAAAAAAATCAGCAGTTGAATACAAATTAGATGGTCGCTGATTATGTAAAGGCATCACTGAAATTTAAATGTTATTCCGGTAAAACAAAATATGTTTCGAACAACTTACCATAAATGATGCAAAATATTTTTTTTTTTTCAAAAACTTTTATATCAATAGAGCATAAAAATCATAATTTGAAAAATGTCTTTAAAATCTCCAAGAAATTAATAATGGCGTAAAGAATCTTGCATTTGATAATTTAAATCATAAATAGTAATTAATGAAAATTTTAATTTACGTTGTATTGTTACTTGATACTTGATATATTCGAAATTTGCTGGGTAATCAAAATTGAACAAATGTTGCTTTGAAATATGAGAATTCGCTTATGTGTCAACCAAACAGAATGACTTGCGTTGTTACTATTGTGTTTACACCTGGCGAGTTTTTATTTTCTTCCGGTATTTATAATTAAACAATTTTGGTGCTGTTCTGAAAATAAAAAATCGGGAATGTTTCTCTTCTTTACATGTGTTTGCGACGATATAAATTTTCTGCTGCTTTGGCTTTGTAAATGTGCATATTTCTCATTTGTGTTCAAATTCATATTATTACGGTTGAACATATCTGTCATAGTGGCTATATTTTCATTTATTGACAATTTTCGTTGTGAAGGTAATTTTCTTATCATATTAACTTTATATTCCCTGGTTTCTTGATTATTTTCTTCTATAATTTCATCATTAATTTTTCTTCTTTTAATATTTCTTTTCTTTTTCTTCTTCTTCTTTATTTTAATGGGAATAGTTTTCATATATTCTGGTCCTTCATCATTAAGTATTCTTATTTCTTCTTGTTTATCATTAATTTCTTTCATGTCGTAAACCTCATCTTGGGTTTGTTCCACATCTTGTGCCACATATATGTTCAGAACCTTTTCTTCTTCGTATGAATTTGTTCGTATGGTTTGCTCCATATCTTTTGCCACATATAGATCCTTTTCTTCTTCGTATGAATTTGCACGTATGGTTTGTTCCATATCTTCGGCCACATATAGATCCTTTTCTTCTTCGTATGAATTTGCAGCGATTGTCGTCAACTCTTCTATTTTGGTGTTGTGAGTCAAACTTTCTTCTTTGTATTCTTCTTGTTCTTCGGATTCTTCGGACTCTTCGGATTCTTCTTGTTCTTCGGATTCTTCGGATTCTCCGGACTCTTCGGACTCTTCTTTAGTTGTTATGAATGCCTTGTATGTATCATCATATGTTGTTGTATATTTCAGATCCTTATTACTTTCGTAGTCCATTCTATCGTCATTTCCACCATTGTAGATTCTAAGTTTGTCATCTCTTTTCCTATTTGTAAGTTTTCGACATTGGTTAATGTGGTGTCCCCTTTTCTTGCAGTATCTGCAAGTGACGAATGGATTGTATTTTTTATCAGATCTGATGTTTAAATATTTTTCTTCCTTTGCAGCAATGTGCACAGCATCTTTCAAATTTTCCGGTTTGGCTGCTTTAACTATAATTTTCAAGTCCAATGGTAGGCCTCTAACAAAAACTGCCAAAGCCAAGTCACAATATGATGGATACGCTATTTCATTTTGTGTAAAATAGCATTCGTTGTTTATTAACGTAAGCAAACTCTCAAGTTTCTCTGCAAACTTCTCAATCGATTCCCCATTTTCTCTAGTTGTTGTTGCTAGCTCGTGATGTAACTCAGCTATGGACCTTCTATCTTTAAAACGTTTAATTAGAATAGGTTTGACATTATTCCATAACTGATAATCAGCCCGTCTAATGCAATCAAAAGCTGTTCCACTTAATTTACAAATAACAATTTTTGATATAAATTTGTATGTCTTAAAATCTACATCATCTAAAATTGAGTCTACAGTACTTAAAAATCTATAAAGGTCATCTGAATTGCCATTGAATTCGGGTATAGTGCTAATTGCTAATTGAATTCTAAATTTATTTATTTCTATACTATTATCTTTACCTTCTCTAGCTTCTTCAAAAATGGGTTCCATCTTGAGATATGATTAAATTTTGATTTGCTTACTTGAATCCGATGAGATAGTTATGTCCAAGTTAGTCGTAGTCTCGCGTTCGTTCTAAAGTTCTTCGGTAGGCGCCACCATCCCTTAGTTTGTGCTGCGAATGATCGTTCGGTTTGTCGAGTTGTGGCAGCTTTGAACTCGATGTCTCCTTCAGAAAACTCTTCAGCGCTACGAGGGAAAAAACCGCTAAGCCACCATGAATTGTCCTGGACTGGTGGTTGTGTATTTGGGAGGTTGGTTCTGGATCACCAGTACGACCAGGAATTGTAATGATAGGCTGGACCCGAGCGGTGAACAGTTGAATAGTTGTTGAAATATTATATTTGTGATGTGGACTCTCCAGAGTCCACTGGTAGTGTGAAAGGCCTTTAGTACGAACAGCGATTTGATAGTAATTTGTAAACACACTTCTTACTTTGAATTATACTTTATTATTCACTATTTTTACAATTAATATTTATTGATAACCTTTTGGTTATCATATCAGCAAAGACTACATTTTACTGAATACTATGTCTGGCTCCAAGCTTGACTCCAAGCTTCTCTCCAGGTTTGACTCCAAGTTTGACTGACTGTCTAACTTTTGTCTAACTCTTATATACTAATTTATTGTTTACAACCTATTTACAAAATCCAACAGTAAGCACTTCCGATGTCCGCGTAACCTACATATAACTAGCAACGCGTTTTGTAATTATTAAACAAAATAATGATTCGAATTGTTATTACAGTTCAATATATATACCAAGTAGAAATATATTTTAATAATCTAATAAATAATAATTAAGAATGTTTAAATGTTCTTGGTATCTTATCAATTGAAACAAATACATAGTATTTAGATTCATTTCACCACAACGTGAATTTTACATTTTTCGGATTAAATAGAATTTCTTCGGATTAAATAGAATTCTTTCCTGAATATGACATATTTAATATGAATATACTATAGAATGCTCATGCAAAGAGTCATCAGTTACATTTAATTTTAAAAAAATTACACATTATTTAACTATAATATTTACTATAAATTTATGCAATTAGGAAGAATACTTTCTGTTAAAATATATTAATCAGGACGACGGTAATTTATTTTATTTCCTACAAAGATTGTCTATGGACCACTTATAGATTTTTTAATTAAGTAATATTTTAATAAACCAACATTTTGTTCAATATTGTAATACAAATGAAATAGCTCTAACTGATATGTTCCTCATATTTGATTTAAACCACCATATTTACTTATTCTTAGAAATACTTTATTGCGTTTAAAAATTCAAATATTAATAACAATTAACTTAGTAAATTAAAAATTCAGCTAAAATATATATAATACTTTCTCATAAATATAAATAAAATCCTTAATATTTATAATTAACTATTATACTAATATTAAATAAAGGAAAAAGTACCACCGATCCTGAAACCGAAAGCGTTTGGAGTATTGAAAAAGAAAAAGCTGAAAGCTCATGTCAAACATATCGAAGTTATAAAAGTGATACAACAGAATCAAATGAAGAGCAAATTGATTTTGATTTAAATTCTTTATTGGAAATGGTAAATAATTTCAAAATCGAACGTAATAAACCAAGAAATCATATATTTGAAGATGACTGCGTGTTTGAAGAAAGCGATTCCGGTATGATTTATTCTAAATATTAAAAATATTAATTAAATCAAATTTAATTATATACCCTAAAACTTGATACAAAAAATATATTTATAATATAATAAAACATCTAGATCGATATATTATAAACATATAAGTATTCATATAAAAGCATTTTTGAAGAATTCATACATTATACTCATGTATATAAGTAAGTCATAAATCAAAATAATATTCATAAAAGTTTTATTTAATTTTTTACCCATATTTATCATTATAA